ACAGAACTCTTTCGATGTGGGTTTGGGGAAATGTGGGATCAGGTATTAAGTTGAGTTTCAGAAGCGGAAGTGTGTGGATTGGTTGACCGTCAAGCATGTACTTATGATTGCTTCAGTGGGGTGCTGTGATTGGCTGAGAGTCAGCAGAACTGGAGCGAGTGGTATTTGGTGAACCTGATGGGGTGAGAGAGCTGTTGATGGTAGCCTTCTGCAGTGCTGAGTAAGCACTTGATCGGCCAGCTTCAGTGGAATGAGCTGGCTGTTGATCGGCCAGCTACAGTGGAGTAGGCGGCTGTTGACCGGCTGGCTGCAATGGAGTGAGGTGGCTGTTGATTGGCTGGCTGCAGTGCAGTGAAGTGGCTGGTGACCGGCTGGCTGCAGTGCAGTGAGGTGGCTGTTGATTGGCTGGCTGCAGTGCAGTGAGGTGGCTGTTGATTGGCTGGCTGCAGTGCAGTGAAGTGGCTGGTGACCGGCTGGCTGCAGTGCAGTGATGTTGATCGGGCGGCTGCAGTGGAGTGAGGTGGCTGTTGATCGGGCGGCTGCAGTGGAGTGAGGTGGCTGTTGATCGGGCAGCTGCAGTGGAGTGAGGTGGCTGTTGATCGGGCGGCTGCAGTGGAGTGAGGTGGCTGTTGATCGGGCGGCTGCAGTGGAGTGAGGTGGCTGTTGATCGGGCAGCTGCAGTGGAGTGAGGTGGCTGTTGATCGGGCGGCTGCAGTGGAGTGAGGTGGCTGTTGATCGGGCGGCTGCAGTGGAGTGAGGTGGCTGTTGATCGGGCAGCTGCAGTGGAGTGAGGTGGCTGTTGATCGGGCGGCTGCAGTGGAGTGAGGTGGCTGTTGATCGGGCGGCTGCAGTGGAGTGAGGTGGCTGTTGATCGGGCAGCTGCAGTGGAGTGAGGTGGCTGTTGATCGGGCGGCTGCAGTGGAGTGAGGTGGCTGTTGATCGGGCGGCTGCAGTGGAGTGAGGTGGCTGTTGATCGGGCAGCTGCAGTGGAGTGAGGTGGCTGTTGATCGGGCGGCTGCAGTGGAGTGAGGTGGCTGTTGATCGGGCGGCTGCAGTGGAGTGAGGCGGCTGTTGATCGGGCGGCCCCTGAAGCTTTTACTTTGACTGGAAGCCGTCACCAGCCCCTTAGAAGAGGGTTAAACCCACTGCTATAGCTAAGGAGCACCAGCCGTTGCCTAGGAACTTTGTGCTTTCACTGACTTAGAATCCTAGGTTTCCTGGGTTGAAATAAATCTATCAAATCATAGACCACACATTGGACCCTCACCCACCCACCCACCCACCCAGAGTGGGCACAGGAGCCCAGGTTTGGGAGCCGACGGACCTGGGCCCCAGCCCTGACTCTCATTTAACAAGTCACTCAGTCTCTGGGACACTGTCTCCTGAAGGACACCCCACCCTCCAAAACGGGGAGTTGTGTTGACTGAGTGACTGAGTGAGTTCATGTGTGTCAGGTTCCGGCTTACGCTCACATTTACTTTCGTAAACCGGAATTTGAGGGGTCATTCCAGCCCCGGGTCTGGTGACCAGGCGTGCAGCCCGTGACTCAGGCCCCTGCTCCGGCCGTCAGGGTTACAGGTTGTAATATCCGAGCACAGGTCTCGCTCCTGGAGGTGCTGCTCATTGCTCTGGGGGAGCCCAGGCACCCGCATTCTTCAAGCTCCCCTGTGGTGTCCCCAGTGCACTGCAGTGGCCACGCCGGCCAGCTCCACACCCAGAGTCTTGCAGGAGATGAACATGTTGCTTTGATTGGTCTTAAGCACTGTGCTTTTCTTATTAAAAGCTCTTCTGAAAATTGTGGAGTTAAGAAAAAAACTGATTTAAATGGGATATTCTCTGAGTCCCATTCCTATTATTGCTCTCATTATTATTAAAAGACAAAAACAAACGAAACTACCTTATGACTTTCAAAATCTAAGCCAACAGGAAGCCGGATCATGATGGAGACAGCGGTGGGCTTGGGCTCCGGAAGCAGTTCGGAGTTGTCTGCCTAAAGGAAATGAGCGTGGTGTGAGCTCCGTTCTGTTGGTTGGAGTGTACATTATGCATACGTTTTATTAAACACTAGAGGCCCGGTGCAATAAAGTCATGTTGACTTTTACTTGCAATATGGCTTCTCCAGTCCTCAAAACAATTTACTTATAATTGCTATGTTTTTATTTTTATTTAAAAAGCCCTCTTGCTCCAGCCTTCAGAAATTCTGTAGTTAATCTTTCATAATAACAAATAACTTTTCTAGTACTAAAACCAGTGAGTCATCAGGATCCACAAACCTCAACATATCTCTTTGTGTATTCAAGAGCTAAATCCTTTCTGTTTGTTATATTACCTGTCCATTTGTCTACATTTCAACATGAGGGACAATATACATAGAGACTAAGGCAAGCAAAACTTTTTTCTTTTCCACTTTGCTCATCAAGTGTTTGGTGTGTTTTTTAATTCCAGCAAATAGAAAGTTATTTCTTTTTTTTTCTTCTTCTCTGGGACAGTAAAAGATCACTACACAAAGTTTTCATCATCATTGTTTTCTGACCTTCTTTTTAACTTAATGTAATCTGATGGTGATAACTTCCTGCTATTCAATGCTGCAGACATTACCTAAGTTTTTCTAATAAGAAATTATGATGCTAAATTTATTCTTCATGTGTGTATTTATCCAGATAACTTAAAATCATGGGACTCTGTGGGAAGAAATAGTGCTTGTTCTCAATGGCAGAAATGTATACATGATTTTCTTTCATTTCCTAAGTTAATAAAATCTTCATGCAACTGAAAAAAAAAAAATCTCGTGCACTGGGGAGTGGGGGCGGTGCTCCTCAGCCCAGCCTGCGCCCTCTCATAGTCCAGAAGTCCTCAGGGCTTAGGCCCCTAAGCCTTCAGTCAGATGTCCTTAGCGCTGCCCCGGAGGCGGGACTACCGCCACTGCAATTGCTGCTGAGCCCTGCTTCTGGCTGAGCAGCACTTGCCCTGTGGGAGCGCACTGACTATGGGGGCAGCTCCTGCATTGAGCATCTGCCCCCTGGTGGTCATTGCGCATCATAGCAACCGGTCGCTCCACTGTTCAGTTGATTTTCATATTAGCCTTTTATTACATAGGATTGCCTCCTTCCCAAAAGGTTTATTATCTCTAAGTTTTGAACTTAATTTATAACAGAGGAGACCGTGCATTCCTTGTAAACTTCTACAGCATCTGGTAGAAAGCGTCATGTTATCTAACATCGTCTTCATGCCTCTAAGGCCTCAAAGTGCACAGGTTGCCCTCCTATAACATAATGGGACCCCCTTTTTGTCAGAGAGGAACAGGGTTTTAGTTAGTGGCCTTCCCACTATTCCTTTCTTTCTAGTTTTGAGGGAACCTCTAGTCGGTTGAAGGACTGCATATTGAATTTTCTTGCTGAAAAACGACTGGCCCACATTGTACCTGAGAAGGATGGCGCTGCTGAAACAGTTGATGCTTACACTCATCTTAGTCATGCAGGTGTCCCTTTGCTCTTCCTGCTTCCAGGATGGACTTCACTTTGTATTCGTGGCTGTTAATTCACCTTTTATTTGGAATCGTGTGTACACAGCTCACCCTCGGTGTTGCGCACTTTACGGGACTTAGAGTCTGTGCGGAGTTGTTTCCCGGAGCCGGGTCTCTGTGCTCTGCCAGTCCCCACCCCGCCCCGCCTGCAGTTGGAATTGCTGAAGGAAAAGTTGGTCATGGCACTTGTAAAGCACCGCAGGGCATACTATGCAGGGGCTACTGCATGCGAGTTTGGCGGTGGGGGTGGGGGGACTGAGCTCAACTCCTGACCCAGGAAGGAGAAGGGGAGCCCGCAGCCTGGAGCACGTGGGAGAGGGGCGTGCACAGCCCGGAGGAGAGGAAAGGGCATCTTGGCCGAACAGACCAGAGGGGCTCTTCCTGAAGGCGGCCGGTGGTCAGGCTGAAGCTGGCTGAGGGGCAGATTCTGGCTAAACCCGCGCAGGCTGATTCTTGTTAAAACTGAGCAATGCAAAGATGCATCTGGAAGTACGAGTCGCGGCTGGTTGGGGAAGGGGATCCAGAGGAGCCTGGCTGAGTTTGGTAAAAGGAGCCTCTGGGGGAGAGACCTGGTGTGGCCTCCCACGTGGCTTCTTTCCCTTAGTAACGCCGTCGAAGGCTTCTCCACGTGTTTCCAGGGCTCGGTAGCTCTTTTCTTTTTATCGCTGAGTATTATTCTGTTAGCTGGATGGACCACCGTTTAGTTATCGGTTCATCTACTGAAGGACACCTTGATTGCTTCCAAAATTGGCGATTATGAACAAAGCTGCTGTAGACATCCATGTGCAGGTTTCAAGAATAATTTTATGTTTATAAAAAAGTCGCAAAGGTAGTGCAAAGCATTCCTATGTACCTGTCCCCTTCCCCCAGCTCTCCTGGTATTAACATCTTCTGTACCCACGGCACACCTGGCCACGGCACAGCTGGCCACGGCACACTGGCAGAGCTAAGCGAGTGACCTTGGCACAGCCCCGGAAACTGGACTTTATCTGAATGTCACAGGGTCTCCCTCCTTTTCTTTTTCTGTTTCAGGATCCAGTGCAGGAACACGGTGCATTAGTACCACGTTTATTTTCATCTTAGTTTATAGGAAGAGCTCGAGTGTGTGTGTTTTATTAATTATATTCATAAAATTCAGCATATACTAAGGCAGGGGACATAAGCATCAGGTATAGGAGCTGGTGCTTAATCAGATGAACACATTAGTTATGAAATCGTTGCTTAGAACATTTTGGGGATCTGTTTTTGTCTTTGACAAAGCATGCAGGAGTCCCAGGGTCCCAAGTCAAGGTCTGGTTTTAAGGCTGCTGGTTCCAGACAGAATCCCGAAGCTATGGAAGGAAGGCCGTGTCAGGGTTGAGTGCCCCAGACCCTGGAGAACAGCTGCCAAATGGCAACAAGAGCTGTCAGGCGCACCATGTTGCAGGCTGATGCGGGGAAGTGTCCGGTTGGTCTCTGACGCACTGTTCTGCCGCAGGGGGACCACATGAAAGATGACAGAGGAGGTCATCGTGATCGCCAAGTGGGACTACACGGCCCAGCAGGACCAGGAGCTGGACATCAAGAAGAACGAGCGCCTGTGGCTACTGGACGACTCCAAGACGTGGTGGCGGGTGCGCAACGCCTCCAACCGGACGGGCTACGTGCCGTCCAACTACGTGGAGAGGAAGAACAGCCTGAAGAAGGGCTCCCTGGTCAAGAACCTGAAGGACACGCTGGGTGAGTGCTCGCGGCCTGGGACCCAGGTTAGAGCGAGGAAGCCCGGTGGGTGCTCTCTGAGGAGAGAGTGTTCATCATTTGTGTTAAAAAAAAAAAAAGTTTGTTTTAAATGTTGACATCATTCTAGTTGTCTTTTTTTAATCTCTGAGAAAGAAGAGACAGGATGGAGAGGTAGCACGTTCGTCATTTCCGTGAGATTTCCGAGTGTGGAGTCGGGTGTAAGCTGCTCCCCCTGCTCCTCTCGGGCTCCCACCTGCGGGCGGGCCTGGAGGGCAGTCCCTCCCCCAGAAGTGCCCGCTCTGCTGTTGCCGCACAGATCTCCTCCCTGACGAGCCTGTCCATCCGCACTTTGCATGGGGAGGAGCGGGGAGGAGCACCTTGGACACGGGTGACTTTCACACCACAGTCCTGGGCAGTTTAGCTCAGTCGGCAACGGGGCGAGCGCCACTGTGATGTCCCAGGCCATCGGGGTCACCCAGTGGGAACTGCTGGGGCTCAGCTCTGGTGGTGTCGGCCAGCTTTCTCCCTACATCCTGTCTCTTCTCCAGGTCGGAGATGGGAGGGACCACCTTGAATCACCTGAAGTGAAGGGGCCAGCCTTGCCTTATGTATTTTGTGTGCGCATCAGGCTTGCTTGTAGTAGTTAGTGCTTCAGATTATGTGAAAAAGTATCTTTGAGGGCCTTTCTGAGAATAAGTGAACTGACCTGCCGTTAAACAAAGTGATCGTTGCCTCCTCCCGTGATACCAGCTGGCTGTGTCTGAGGCTGCTGGTTATCGCTGGAGCGTGTGTTATTGAATGAAATAAGTCAGTATTACCACCCGTGCTATGTTTACTTGAGTTTTTCCTTTTTATCTTTAACATGAGCATATTTTTTCATTTAGGGGAGAGGGTGACAGGTGGGAAAATTGAGCATTATACATGGAATGCAGTGGGTATTGCAAAGTATTTGTCTTTATTTTATGCAATCTTGAAAAGTCTCATTCTTCAAAACCGTGCAAAGCCTGCATTAATGGGCAGTGTTTTGTGCTGTGGATTAGGTTATGCCCAGGCCTGGAGCGAGAAGCAGAACGCGGGCCTGTGTGGGTCACACCAGCTCGCCAGCTGTCTGAGATTCGGAGGCTGATAGAGAAACCCCGTTTTTCATGAGCAGTCTGATTCTCTCCCACTAAACTGACAGCCCTTTGTCTTTGTTCTCCAAGCAAGGCACTGGAAAGAAACATTGTTGTCCTATGCATATAACTCTTAAAGAAATGTAGGCTGCATGAACAGGTAAAAACTTAAAAAGTGCCTGAGCTTAATTTTATTGATTTTTTCCAATTTCAGCTTTTCACCTACCAAAGTGCCTTTAAAAAATTTTTTTTGGATCTACTAAACATTGTTGACCTGTTTTGTCTTCCTTCTTACCCATTTTTAAAAAATATGTTCTCAAGATTCTAGTGCAGAGCTAGGCCAGCGTGGCTCAGTGGTTGAGCACCAACCTATGAACCAGGAGCTCACGGTTTGATTCCCCATCAGGGCACATGCCTGGGTGGCGGGCTTGATCCCCAGTAGGGGGTGTGCCGGAGGCAGCGATCAATGATTATCTCTCATCATTGATGTTTCTATCTCTCCATCTCTCTTCCTCTCTGAAATCAATAAAATATATTAAATTTAAAAAAGAAAGAAAGAAAAAGATTCTAGCGTAGAATGAAATGCCCAGAAATGGAACGAAATACCAGGAAGTAAAATAAGACAAAGCAAGCCTTCTGACTTATCTAGAAATTCCCTTGAATCCTTGTTATTTTTTCCTTCAGTTTGTAGGAGAAGACAGAGCTTCAAATGGAAACTATTAACCACAGCTTTTGCCCAGTGTTTAGTTTTTCACGAGCCCAGTGTTTAGTTTTTCACGAGCCGTGATCAGAACTGTGACCAGTGCAGCGAGCTTGTGTACTGCGGAGGAGGCCGGCACCCAAGCCAGCCCTGGGGCTGGGCTGGGCCCGTGGCCCCACCCCGACAGATGGCCACCCAGCTCTGCTGGAACACTGCTTCTAAGTCATCCAGTTCCATTTTTGGAGAACACAGATTGTTAGAAAGCTCTTCCTTAAATAGATTCAGAGCTTGCTTTTTGCTTTCTCCTGTGGCTCATCAGCCCTTGAGAGCTGCGCCGAGTGGGGGTGCCCTTCTGTGGAGGGACAGCTCTCAGCAGCCTGTCCACACACAGGCACACGTGGCCTTGGACGCGTTCGCGCCCAGCAGATTATATTGTGAAAATACACGTGAAATTGTATCTGCAGCATCCGTACCTGTTAGCAGCAGGTGACACTCAGAGTCTGAGGTTGCTATTTCCACCCCGCAGAGCATTGCTCCCCTTGTCGTATGTCTTTCTGTTTGGATGGATCCATTATGCTCTCAGAACCCTGCTTTTGTTGGGCAAAGACCTTGTTACTTCGGCATGAGTTTTTCCCTGACCTCGAGCAATATGAGAGAGCAGGAGGCACCCTGACATTTCCCTGCCCTCGAGCAGTATAAGAGAGCAGGAGGCACCCCGACATTTCCCTGCCCTCAAGCAGTATCAGGGAGCAGGAGGCACCCCGACAAGAATCTCTGTGGCAGAGAGAGACCTCCTTGTCCCCACAGCCGGACGGGACATGGCACTGAAGGGGGCAGCCCCTCCTGCCTCCCAGGAGTCTCTTTGCTAGAAGAGATGGGAGCTAAAGTGCCCATGGCCGCCTGCTTCCTGCTGTCTCCGGGTGCTGTCAGACCGATGGTGCAGTCAGAGACTGTCTCCACTGTGTGTTAGAAGGGGCGAGGACGACGTGAGAAACCACCCTGCATCGCTGAGCTCCGGTAGCTCCTCGTGGCATCGTCACCTTGGTAGTTTGCCCTGCTGTGGAAACCTGCCCGCTTCCGAAATCCAGGCTGAGTCCCTGACAGATGCCTGGCTTGGAACGATGGCGCCGGATGGCCAGCAGTCACGGTGCCGTAACTGCGGTTTATGTTTGCAATTGTCGGTCACTAACTCTGTCCAGGTCTCGCCTCCTTGCCTGTCCCCACCAGGTGTGTGGAAGCTGGTAGGAAGTTCACCTCATCCCATGTCATGCTGGTTAGAGCGGCTTTGAGCAAGCAGCACCTTTGACAAGAAGATCTGTTAGGGAAGGGTGACCTTTCTTCCTTTTTTTTAAAATAAATTTTAATCAAATAAAATGATCTGAGCTCTTGTTTGCACACAGGCAAGGCTTTCACATACTCTGGGTCTCCTCTTGTACCCACCTTAGGTCACCAACAGTCAGAGCGTCTCCTTGGGTAACGGTGGCTGGTGTGCGGAGGGCCCGGCTGCAGCTCTCAGCTTCTGTGCGGAGCCTGGTTTATGCAGTCACGGCCCGACGTTTCACGGCGCTGTGCTGTGTCCTCAGGTGTGAGAAAGGGGCCCGGAGGTCTTTTCACAGCCATTCCTTCAGGCTAATGGAGAGCAGTTTTTGTATCACTTCATGGTAACAGCTGGAACCCACAACCCCAAAGGTTAACTCCTTCCCGTGGCTCCGCCCAGGTGCTGACCCGATTACACGGAATGGCACACTTCCACCTGTCGCCTCTGCTCCCAGGCGCACGGCCCGTGCTAAGCACGTCCTTAGGCATCGGAGCCGGAGGAAGTGAGCCGCCCGTTTTGCTGCTGGAGCACTTGTCCCCGTGTTACACACCTAAGGAAGTGAGAACCCCACAGGGGTTAGGACCCCCTCTGTGGCTCCTCACCGCTGACCACTGTCACACGGCCCTTGCCCTGCACTGGCTTGATCACTCGCCTTTGGACGAGGAGGGGTGGTCCCGTGGGGACATTCACATGGCTCCGGAGGCCTGTGGATGCTAGGACTGACTTTGGCGGGGCTGAGTGGCTTCCCCAGGACGCACTGCTAGTCACGGGGAGGAGATAGAGATGGGGCTTCCGCTGAAATGGAGGCTTTCACTACCCGGTGGACGTCAGGGTTCAGTGGCTGGGCATCGGCGAGGACTCTGGCAGCGACGGACACTGAGAATGTTAGAGGACATTTTAGTGATAACAGGTTTTCTTTTTTAGAGTTGAAGCACTTATCAGTAAAACTTAAATGGGGTCCTGAGTGACACGGTGGTAACCACCAGGCCACGTTAGGTTCCTGATTTTGGTGGCTGTGCTGTGGTCCTCGCTGTGGAAATACACACAAGTATTCTCGTGATGGGACGCCGCGCCGGCACCTCCTGGCACGGCTGAGGGAAAGCACTGCTGCTCTCGCAGTGTTTCGTTCATTAAACCCACGGGCAGCGTCAGGGTGGCGTGGAGCCCGCGCCCGATGTCGTGTGGCTCATGGGGCATGTGTCTGCATGGCCACAGTGTTGCAGGGCCTTAAACGTGGCCTAAGCCTCTCGGAGCGCAGGGCCGTCCTGAGGATCTGCCACGATCGGACCTTAAACATGAGGATAACACCCGGTGTAAACATGTCCAGCTGGTTCTCCTTCGAATGGTTTCCCCAGTGCTGGACCCAGAACATCTGCCATCGCCTGCAGGTCTCTCCCTGTCGCCAGCTCGCCCGCGAGGAAACCCCTGCTATGGGACCAGCCGGACGGCGTGGAGCCGGTTCAGTCTACGCGATCTGTTATCGGGCGACAGGGAGAGCGGGGTCAGAGCAGCGTCCTGGGCTCGCAGCCTCTGGTTGGACGGGTGCAGGATCGTGGGTCTTTGCTGAGATTATGCGTGTCCTCAGCGGTAATTAGGGCTGGAGCCTGTGCCTGTGGCAGCCCCCGAATACTTGTATGTGGCCAACCTGGGCAATGTGACTTGTGCTGGACCTGGGAGGTCCCTTGGAAACCCCTTCTAAGCCACATCATTTCCTCCTGAGTTGCCTTGCCAAGCAATCACCAGAGGCTGTGAAATAGGGGTGCAGACATTCTGGGGGGGCCAGCACGGCATAACGGTGTGTTTGGGTCAGAACTGGGAGCCTGGCCGGCGCTGCTTCCTCTGGCGGGACATAAGGAAGCAGGCGGTCTAG